GGGGGGGGTGAGACAAGATTTCTCTGTGTAGCCCTCCTTGTCTCGAAACTCACTCTGTAGAGACAGGGATGCCTTTGCCTGCTGGAATCAAAGGCATGCGCCACCACTGTCCAGCTGTGAGACATGGCCTTAAAACAAAACAAAAACCCCAGCATGTTTCCACCTCTACACAGTACAGAGCGGCACAGGGATGAGCAGGCCTTGACCCTTGGCTATGTGGTCAAGGTACTTGTTTTTAACAGCTGCAGAGCTGCAGAGCGCCTTGCTTTAGCATTCAGGTTCTAGAAGGTAATAAGACCCTTTGTTAGTCGGGCCGCTTTTAGTTTAGCTGAGCTTTCTAGTTTTTCTTTTTAAAAAAAGTATTCATTTAATATGTTTTGCCTGGTTTCCGGGGAGGCCAGAGCAAGGAGTCTGATCCCCTGGGTCTGGAGTGATAGTGAGCTGTGCGTACTGCGATCACCCTGCCTAGGAGTGTGTGCCGCAGTGGGCATGTGGAGGTCAGGGGGCAACTGTGTGGAGTCGCTTCCTACAGTTGTCCCAGAGACTGAACCCAGTGGGTTTTTGTGGCCAGGGCCTTTCCACCATGGGCACAGTGGCCCGTTTAGCTGCTCTCTTTTCCCCAGGTCCTTCCCTCCTCACTTCACATCCAGACATTTTTCTCCAATCTTCTCAGACATACCTCGGCAGCCCAAACCTCTCTGCTTTAATCAGGGCTTCGGTTTATTTGGTCTTGTCTTCAGTTCACACTTGAGGGACCTAGCCTTCCAGGAAATTGGATCTTTCCAAACCCCGAGAGGGACTCTCCAGCACAAGACAATAACTATTTTACAGGATGTGTGGCTTGGGTCAGGCAGACACGTACCTGCCTGCATTCTCTCTGCTGATCTTGGAAGAGTCTGGCTACCTTCCCCAATGGTCCCGGTATGGCTCTCTGGGAAATTAGAATGGACGGTATGATGGCTGCTTGAGAATAAAGTGGCAGAGGCTTATGGCTAGGTAGGTCATGTGGCTGCAGAGAGAGGCCATAGGGAGTGAGGAGATACTAGGAGCTGAGTATCTGCTGTCAGTGCCCTTAACTATGCGTACACACACACACACTTCAGAGGACAACCGTAGGGGTCTGCTCTCTCCTCCACCGTTTTCTGGGGTTTGAACTGAGGTCATCAGGCTGAGCGCTTTTACTGCTGAGTCATCTCAACAAGACCAAAAGCTCAGTTTAGAAAAACCAACCAACCAAACAAACCAACCAAAAAAGAGAACTGGGGATTAAACCTGGGCCTTCCTGGGTGGGAGGCCCGGTGCTCTAGCCAATCCCACCCCTTCTACAGGATAATTTTAAAGTAAATTAATACAGCTAGGGATAATTATAAATTAAGAGCAGTGAAGCAATTATACAGGCGTGAGTGGGAGACCGGCTGGGTTTTCGAGGTGTGGCTGAGTGGCTAAGAGCCTAGTTCGTTCAGCACGGTGAGTTCCACCCACAGGACTTCCGTAGCTGGTGGCTAAGTCTAAAAGCTCCTTTGCGAGGTTGTTTTGTTTTAATTTAAATTATTTTTAAATTCCCACAGTGGGTTTGGATAAAAAAATAGACGGTAAATTGTCCATTGACAGATCTGGGTCTTACACAGCTGGCATGATGTCAAAATCTAGTTGACGATTTTCTTAAACTGATATTTCTCTTGAGATTTTAAAAAAAGATGCTTTTATTGATTTCCAGAGACTACCAGGCTCAAAATCTTGAAGCCTAGACTTCTTTTCTATTCAGCAAAACAAATCATTGTGTATGGAGGTTGTCTGTTAAACGAAAAACATTTTTTTTTTTTTAAATATTTTGGACTGGTGGTGCTGGGGATGGAACTCAGGGCTGGGCCGCATACATGTCCATTAGCTGTTCAACTGAGCTGCACTCTCAGGCCTTTTGAAGAGGTTTGGGCTAGGACTGGATTGAAAAATAGACCAGCCAGTCAGAGTCTAAAGTCAGGTTCTATTGGGAATAAGGAAGAGAAAAGGGAGAGGTTCCGGGTAGGTGGTGCTGATTTGTCTAATGCCCACGGAAAGGCTAATGGGTTTAAGGCTCCTGAGAGCCGTAGGAGCATCAGCTGAAGTTGGCGGCCTGCAGTGGGGTCCGTACAGCAGCCTTTGGTGAGGAGCTCTGTGAGAGCCACGGGAGGACAGATGAACTTTTGCTGTTATTAAATGGCATTTACATCAACCATGTTGCCGAGCGTTAAGTACTATAGTGTGGTTACGTGTTCTCTGTTCCATGGAGCTGTTGCCTGGCTGGGTTTTTCTTTCTTTTTTTCCTTTTCATGTGTTAATTTTCTGTGTGAATATCACTGATTCTTTACGCATCGTCCACTGTTCTTCCCTTGTAGCTTCCACACAATGTAACGTGCCAAGACTCGGTTCTATCATTTCCTCTCCTGGAGGCTTCTGGTTCTGTCTGGGTGGGGTGGTTCCTCAGTGGGTTTCACCTCCCTCCAGTGAGGCCCAGATGGCATGTTTCGTTTTCGCTTTGCTCCCTGGGAGCACAACTCCCAATAGGCTGGTTTTGTTTGTTCGTTTTTTGTGATGCTGAGGGTTAAACACAAGGCCTAACTAGTTCAGCACCCCCACCCTGAAACACATTCTTTTCTTTCAAGTTGTTTAAAAGAGATTTATTTGTGTATAAGCGCGTCTATACGAACATCTGCACCTCAGAAGAGGACATTGGATCCCATGGGGCTACAGTTAGACACAGCTATGAGCTGCCATGTGGGTGCTGGGAATGGATTGAACTCAGGAAAAGCAGCCAGTGCTCTGAACCACTGAGCCATTTCTCCAGCCCCTGAAACACCTTCTTAGCTCTTCCAGCGGTTTCCTGAGAAAGATGCATAAGATAAAACCATTTTGATAAATTACATGTCTCAAAATATCTTCGTTTTGAGAAAGTGTCTCACTGTGTAGCTCTGGCTGTCCTTGAACTCAGGATCTTTATTTCTGGCAATTTAAAGCTTCATAAAAATTAGTATGTCTTAGAAATCCCTACACTAGAGCTGGGCATGTTGGCTTAAACCTGTAATTTGGTTGTTGGGAAGCTGAGGCAGGAGGATTGCCACAATTTCAGGGCCATCCTAGGGTTCATAGCGAGTTCCAGGATAGTCCTGGCTATAAAATCTGACTCCTGCCTCAAAGCAAATAGTAATAACAAATTTCATCATACTAGGAATTCAAAAGGATTTTCAGCTTATTTTCTGTTTTGTTTTTAAGGCAGGGTCTCATAGGGCTCAGACTTGCCTGAACTCTATATACATATGGGTGCCTTTGAACCCTTGATCTTCCTGTCTCCACCTCCAAGTCCCAAGATTACATGCATGTACCAGCAGGCCCAGCTACTTTTGTTTTCTTAAGAAAAACAAGACACCTTTTTTTTTTTCACATGTCTGAATGTTTTGCCTGCCATGTCTGTATATGCATAACATGGCACTGGAGTTATGGATGGTTGTGGGTCACCACGTGGCTGCTGAGGATGGTACCTGGATCCTCTAGAAAAACAGCTGGTACAGCTGTTGACAAGGCTCCAGCTCCCATTGTTCAGCTTTCTAAGTTTGAGAACACTTGCATTGTTCTCTAATAAGCTTCGTTTTTATTTGTTTGTTTGTTTGTTTGTTTGTTTATTTATTTAATTTTTATTTGGATTTCTCTTCACTGCCTTGGCTTTCTTGAAACTTGCTCTATTAACCAAGCTGGTAAGTTTCTTTTCCACCTTGCTACTGGAGCTCCTCTGAGCTGCTAGACCTCTTGGCTCACCTGATTTTCATATATTTTCTTCATTACACATCTTTTTGTAACTTCGTTTTCTGTTTAAAGCCTTTTCCAACTTTATCATCTCTTACTGCATCGCAAGTTTAGCATTTTTGTTTGTTTGTTTGTTTGTTTGTTTGTTTTCCAGACAAGGTTTTTCTGTGGCTGTCCTGGACAACCTTTGTGGTCCAGGCTGGCCTCAAACTCACAGAGATCCACCTGCCTCTGCCTCCAGAGTGCTGGGACTAAAGGTGTATGCCACCACACCCAGCCACAAGTTTAGCTTTCTAGATCCTAAGCATTTTGTCTCTTACTAATCATCCTTTCATAGCTACATTCTCTTCTTTCCTACGCTTATCCCTGAATTGTCTCTTTTCCTTTTGTTTTTCAAGTTGGAAGTTTGCCTCATGTGTCTGGTAATCCTTAATTGCTCATATTGAAAAGTAAGAATGAGCAAGGCAGTGGTAGTGCACACCTTTAATCCCAGAGTCTGGGAGGCAGAGGAAAGTGAATCTCCGAGATTCAGGCCTGTCTGGTCTACAGAGCAAATTCCAGGACATCCAGGACTACACAGAGAAACCCTGTGTGGGAAAACCAAACCAAACCCAAGGAAAAAGAATGAGGGGCCTAGCTGGTAATAGCATGAATAGCCTTTAGTTCCAGCACTCAGAAGACAAAGGCAGGTGGAGCTCTGTGAGTTTGAGGTCAGCCTGGTCTACATAGTGAGTTCCAGGACAGCCAGGACTACATAGGGAGACCTTGTCTCAAAAAAGAAAACAAAAATAAAGAATGAGGGGTTAGAGAGATGGGGCAGGTGTGATGTGCATATACACACCGGCAGAACATTCATACACATAAAAGATAAACTAAAAAAAAAAGTGAGCCAGGTGTGGAGGCACATACATCTAATTCTGGCACATGGGAAGCAGAGGCAGGCGAGTCTTTGAGCTCTAGGTCAGCCTGGTCTACCTAGTGAGCTCATGCGGGACAGGACTACATAGCAAGACCTTGTCTAAAGCAGTAACAGAAGGCATGAGGTAGCTAGTAGGTGTACGCTCAGTCATATTTGGCTGGCATCTAGACTGAAGGAGGGAAGCAGCATTGCAGAAACAAACAAACAAGTTGCATTCTCAGCAGAGACAGGAAGACAAAACTTTTGAGCAGGACATCTGGACAAGCCTGGGTTGCACAGTAAGATCCTGTCAGAAGTGTGTGTGTGTGTGTGTGTGTGTGTGTGTGTGTGTGTGTGTGTGTTGGGGGGAACATTAAGGGTTTTTTGTTTGTTTTTGTTTTTTTTTCCAAGGGTTTCTGTGTAGGCTTGTCTGTCCTGGACTCACTTTGCAGACCAGGCTGGCTTTGAACTCAAAGCCATCTGACTGCCTCTGCCTCTGTGAGCGCTAGGATCACAGGTGTGCGTCCCCACCATGCCACCTGGCTTAAACATCTTAATGTATTGAATGAAACTTCAAGTGGGAGACTTCAGGACGATGCTTATCCTTATCAAGAGCCTCATGCTTCTATTTAAACGTGTTTTCTGGGCAAGGTTATTTTTCTCCCGAGTTTTTCATTTGTGTCAAGCCACTGATGGCTTAAGCTTCCTGGCTATTTTTTTTTCTGATGGTAAAGATTAAACCAGGACTTTGCCCAAGTTATTATCACCGTAATACATTTCAACCCCATGGCCAGTGTTTTAAACCTTATCTTTTCTTTCTTCTTTATCAAACCGCCCTCCCCACCCAGTATCCTAAGTAGTAGGTACTGAACCAGGCTCTTACTCATGCTGGGCCTTCCCCAACGAACCACAGCTCGGCATTTTCTTTTGTAGGGGCTTGTTCAGAAAGGGTCTCACGTAGATGTAGCCCAGGCTAGCCTTGAGCTATATAACCAGAGGTCCTTGAACTTCTCATGCTTCTGCTTCTGCCTCCTAAGTGCCAGTGGCAACAGCCCAGGCTTATTTGGTGCTAGAGAGTGAACCCAGAGCTTCAGGTATGCTAGGCAAGCATCCTACCCACTGATTCACACCCCCAGCCCTTGGCTCAGGCTTCCGGTCTACTGCTGGGCCTGGACTTCCTGTCGTTTTCCTCCCAGATGTCAGAGGCTGTCACCTGCCTCAAAGTGAGTGTGTCAGGGGGTGTGGCTCTGTAAGCTTTTAGCCAGCCTCCTTGCCTTAGCCCCGATGAATCCTTCCAGAGCTATCTCCTGTTAGCATCCCCCCCCCTTCAGACAAGCCTCTTTCACGCTAAGCCAGTTTCACCCTTTTTCCCACTTTTAAAAAACTGTGATTTTTTTTTTTTCTGTCTATCCTAGAATCCCTAGAGTTTAAATTCATTCCAAGTCCTCCTTTGTCATCTCAGGGGACAGTGCAAACCCAAACCCCTGGCTCAGGGGCGTGGACAACATCGACTTTCTATTTTGCAGGTTAAAAGAGGGCTGAGTTCAAGGCCATTCTCCACACTACATGAGAACCTGCCTGAGACTAAATGACCCACAGAACCAAACACGAGCCACAAGCATTTTCCAACAAAGTCCCTTTTATTTAGTTAGCTGTAAGAAATTGTCTTTATTAATTGAATCTCCGGGAATTCGGTGTAAGATTTAGTATCTTAATGCCCACCAACATCTGGCTCTGAGGGTTAGTCAGCCTCTCCCAGTCCTGTCGGAGTTAGAGGGAGAGACGTCATCAGCAGAGACCAAATCAGGTGGCTGCCCTCTTCCTTTCCTAGTTGGACAAGTTGCTCAACTCTTGTCCAGGACAGGAAGAGGGGCGGTTTCTCTAAAAAATTAATAACGAATTTGACAATGAATCAGTAAGAGTTCTAACAATTTAGACTTATCAATATGTTGGTCCAAATAATTTTTTTTCATGTTGCAGTTTACTTTTTCCATGTGTAAGCTTAATAATCACACTTCCCTGTGCAGAAATGAATCATCTCAGTGCAAAGAAAAATTCCTCCAACTGGAATAGCCTCATCTCGCTTTGGGGAAAGGGTCCCTGCTCCGCCTCTACTCAACAGGTGGAACAACCCCCCCTCCCCATGTGACTTCTGACGGGCCTAGCAAGGGCACCTGCCTTGGGCAGGCAGCCTTTGCAAAGGTCTTAAAATCAAGCCCAGTCAACAGTCTGTGAGCGTGTGGATCGGCTCTGAGTTCGAAATGGCTTCTGCTCTTCCGTTTCATGAACTAGGCTCAGAGGCTGCGTTGGAATTCTCCGGAGCGGGAGCAGTGGCGGCGGCGGCGGCTCCCCGAGGTAGAACTTCAATAACCCGAGGCTTGTCGATGATGCGGGCTGTGCGGTTTCCCTTCTCCACGATGCCAACGATCCAGGCTTGGTGACCCTCTCCGTATTTGGAAGATTTGATCTCTGAGCAGAAGCGGGCCGCTTGTTCTCTCGGCAGACAGATCAGTAGTCCCCCGGAGGTCTCCGCTGACGTTCCCTGGAGGAGGCCGAAGCGCCCGCTGGCTTTGCTGATGGCAGCCATCTTGGCAATGATTGGCAGATTGTGGATGACAAAGGACACCTCGTTTTTCTGTTGTTTTGCGAGGTTCTGAGAGTGTCCTAAGATGCCGAAGCCCGTGATGTCCGTCGCCGCGTGGGCATTAAAGGTGTGCATCAGGCCGGCGGCAGTTCGGTTCAGGGTGGCCATATTGAACATAGCTTCCTGATAGGCCAACTCGACTTCTTCCCTGGAGACCACCATCTTGATTTTGCTCCATTTCTCGGGATTCTCCAGCCACTGGTGGGCATTGGCGGCAACCTGGGTCCCCAAGGGTTTGGTCAACACCAGCACATCCCCCACCACCGCACTGTCGGGCATGATGAACTCGTTCTGCTGACACACCACAGTGGCCACCCCACCGATGATGATCCAAGGGTTGACCACGGTCTGTCCGCCCGTCACCGCGGTCCCGCCCTCCTCCGCAGCGTCGCGGAAGCCTTTGATCATGAGCGGCGTCACCTTCTCGCGCTCCTTCTCGCTCATGCTCTGGCTGACGCTCAGCAGCATCAGCATGTTGTCGCACTCCGTGATGCCCATGGCGTAGAGGTCGCTGAGCACGTTGGCACAGGCGATGCGCCCCATCATGTAGGGGTCCTCCACCAGGGGGTAGAAGAAGTCGGTGGTCTGCACCAGCGACAGGCCGCCGTGCCTCAGGGGGATGACGCACGAGTCCATCCCGATGCTCAGCGACGGGAAGGCCGAGCCGGGGCCGGGCCGGGCGGCCAGGCCCGCGTCCTGCACCGCCTCCTCCTGCCCCCCGAGCAGACCCGGGGCCAGCGGGGGCTGCAGCGCGGGCCGCGTCAGTCCCTCCAGGAGTTTGAGCAGCGTCTCCTGGGGGACCTTGCAGCCTCAGCCCTTCATGCCGGAGAAGCTCGTCAGCCGCCAGCTCGGGCCGAAGCCCAGGGTCTGGGGATCGAACGGCCGGTAGTTGGAGAAACTCCGGCCCGCCGACCAGCCCGCCTGCCCGAAGGAGCCCTCCGCGGCCACCAGCGCCGCCATGGCCTCCCCGCTGGCCCCCGCCGCCGCTTCCGCCATCGCGCCGCCCGCGGGGGACGCCCGGCCGACCGGAGAGCCCCGGTACCTGCGGGAGAGCAAGCCTGTCGCGACGGGCAAGGGTCCCCGGGCGGACGGTGCACGCCGCGCGCCCGACCGCAGGACGCAACCACGCCGCCCGCCCGAGCGCCGCGCGGCCTCTATTTATACACGGCGTGATTGACAGCCGCCCCACCCAATGGCGACTCCCGCCCCGGGAGGCGGGCTTCCTCTACTCGGAAAGGTACCTAACAAGTTAACCGTCTGCTTGCACAACTGGTCCCCCGCCGCGAGATCGTCACGTGAACCCCTTGTAACTGGCCTGGAACGCGGGTCTCTACGTAGGCCAGGCTGACCTCGAACTCGCGTCCACCCCCCGTCTGTCTCAGCTTCCCGAGGGGGCGCTGGTGTTACAGGGGGGGGCCAGGGTCGCCCCCCTCCCCCCCCACCCCCCCCCCGTCCCGGTCTCTTCCCCACCCCCTCAAAGGTGCACCAGGTCTTGGAATTGGCTGGAGGAAGTTTGCTGACTTGGAATCACTAAAGACTAGGCCGCTTGCAGAAGGAAGCCCTGGCACCTGCCTAACCCCGTGAAGGTCAGAATAGTCCTAAGGTCATTTGACAGGTCCCGGAGCCAGTATAGGGTGAGGAAACGCTTTAAGGGGAGGACTCGGGGAAGAAAAGGGACATTACGAAGCAAAGCTATCATTCATTACATAAGGAAATTGCAGCATCGATATGAAATTTCCCACGGCCTTCAAGTGCTGCACAGGTTCCCCGTGCTGTTTTGGCCATTGCCTTCCAGATGAAGAGTTGCTGTCTCCTGTGGGAGTTAATTTACCAATGCGACAGAATAGCGTCCCTGGCTACTCTGTGCTAAGACGTCTATATTTCTTGAAGTTAACATCTATGAAAATTCATGACAGAACCAGGAAGGAAGGTTTGTTAGTGTTTATTAAAATTGTAAATGCTAAACCCAGAGGAGTGGCTTCATGCCTGTAATCCCAGCATTTGGGAGACTGAGATAGAATCACTGTGAATTCCAGTCCAGCCTGGACTACATGAATGAATAAGTGAATAGATTTCCCACTGTCACTGGGTGTAATCCCGGCACGTGGAAAGCTGAGGTAGGAAGATGATGACCTCCATGCCAGCCTGGACTAGTGAGATCTTATCTCAAGAAAACCTAAAGTAGGGGCTGGAGAGATAGATGGGTTGGTGGTTAAGAGCACTTGCTGTTCTTGCAGAGGACCTGGGTTCAGCTCCCGGCACCTACACAGCAGCTAACAAACACCTGTAATTCCAGTCTCCAGAGGATCTGATGTTCTATTCTGGCTTCTGGGAGCACCAGGACCGTGTATAGTGCACAGTCAAACATGCATTCAAAACACTCCTACACATACAAAATAAAAGTAAACAAACCTTTCCTTATTGTTGCCGTCATTGATGATGTGTCCAAGGGTGACTTTGTGTACGTCCTCATGGATTCATGGAATGTAACTGAAGTTATCAAGATTTTCACAGCAGCTGAGTGGTGTGAGACTGAGGCAGGAGGGTCTCTGTGAGTTCGAGGCCAGCTCTGATCTACAGAGATAGTTCCAGGACAGCCAGGGCTACACTGAGAAACCTTGTCTCAGGAAAAAAAAAAAATCAAAGATTTTTCACAGTAAATGCTTTTACTCACTAAGCCATCTCATTAGCCCCAGATCATAATTTTTTAAATAAGAGTTATAGCTGTAAAAGCAACTAGCAATGCTCTGAGTTGTTTTTATGTATTAGTTGTTTTCATTTTTATCTTAGTGCTATGAGTTAGACTTCTATTTTCGCTGTATAAGAGCATGAGGTGTGGGGGCTGGATAGATGACTCAGATGTTAGAAGAATGTTTGCTGCTCTTTCAGAGGACACAAATTTCAAAGCGCCCACTTGGTGGCTCACACATCCCTAGAACTCCAGCTCCAGGGAAATCTAAGACCCTTTTCTGGCGTCCTCACACACATGCCCTCAGACACTCACACATACACAAAATTGAAGAGGCAGGGTTTCTCTGGGTAGCCCTGGCTGTCCTGAAACTTGCTCTGCAGACCACGCTGGCCTTGAACTCAGAGATCCACCTACCTCTGCCTCCTGAGTGCTGGGATGACAGGCGTGTGCCACCATCACCCAGCTTAAAATAAATATTTTTTAAAAGAAAGACCATGAGGTACAGGTATGTCCTATTCAAGGTTACCACCATATCAGAGTAGGACTGAGTTAGAATCCAGCAATCTAAACCAGAGACTTCTCACTGAACCTGCCTGGGATACTTCAGGACATACTGAGAACAGTTAAGACTTGAGGACATGATTGTTTTTTAAGATGTGGTCTCACTGTGCAGCACAGGCTGACAGAAATCCACCTACACCTGCCTCCTGGGTTCAGGGATTAAAGGTTCGTACCCCTGCACTCTGCTTTCAACTTTTTAAGAGATAGGTTGGTTTTTATTTTGTGTGTTTGAGTGTTTTGTCCACATGTATGTAAGTGGAAGAGTGGGGTTACAGATGCCATGTGGGTTCTGGTTCTGAACCTGGGTCTTCTGAAAGAGCACACTGCATTCTTAAATCTCTGAGCTATCTCTCCAGTCCCTCAACTCCCCCTTCCCCCCAAGACAGGGTTTCTCTGTGTAGCCTTGGCTGTCCTGGACTTGCTTTGTAGACCAAGTTGGCCTTGAACTCACAGAGATCCGCCTGCCTCTACCTCTTGTTCTTGTTTTGCTTTTCTTAAGAAAACAAAAGTAGCTGGGCCTGCTGGTACATGCATGTGATCTTGGGACTTGAAGACTTGAAGGCAGAGACAGACAGATCAAGGGTTCAAAGTCACCCATGTGTATGTAGAGTTCCAGGCAAGTCTGAGCCCTATGAGACCCTGTCTTAAAATATGGGCCCAAAAAACTTTTTTTAAGAAAGGAAAACATAGGCCCCAAAGAAAGCTCAAGAGTGAAGGTGCAGGCCACCAAGCCTGAGGACCTGAGTTTGGTCCCAGGGTCACAAGCAGTGGAAGGAAGAGAATTGACTCCCACAGGCGTCCACACACGCAGGCACAGATCCACCACATACATGCTCACACACACGTGCTCACATACGCACAAACGCATATACACTCACACCTACGTGCGCGTTTGCGCACCCGTATAGAAACACATCTGTATACACATGCACGCACATTAAGCAAAATGTGACTTAGAAAAAGTAAAGTACATATTTTAGAATTTATAAAAGCAAAAATGGTACAGCAATAAAACAGCAAACGTGGACACAAAAGACCTTTGGATTTTTTAGGGTTTTCTTAAGATGCATTAATTATACAGAACAACGTGGTTCAAATGGCAGCTCTTAAATATATTTACTGTCTCCTAGTTAGCCCCGAAGCTCTTTCCATCCCCCTCCACTCTGCTGACGACCTTCCTTTTCCAGGCTAGTTCTCCTCTATCCTCCTGTCTTGGCCTTTGGGGATGTGGGGCCAGCCTGCCACTCCCCCTGACCTTAGATCTTTGACCTGCCCTCTACCCTCCAAAGATGCAATCAAGCTGTGACCTTGAGGAAATGATAGGACATTCCTGCCCTCCACGGTACTTCAGTAAACTGAGGATCATAATTCCTGTTTAGGTGGTAGCATGCTGCCAGGACGAAGAGAGTCAAGCGTAAAGGCCTTTGCAGCTGCTCAGGGTAAGGCTCACTGGATGGAGCCTCCTGTCTCAAAACAGGAAAAAGAAGTACTGTCATCACCTGGCAAGTTAAACAGTGACGAGACTGGCCAGACCTGCTGTTTACCTTCTCTTTTGATTTTTGGACTTTCCCCTCTCCGTTAAAATCTGCCCCATTTGTAGTCAGTCGTGTAAGCTGGTGTTACAGTCTGGATACGAAACGTCCCCCAGAGGCTCGTGTGTTGAACAGCGAGGCCTCAGCTCAGGCATCTGGTGGTTTTGAAGTCACTGGACTGGGAGGGCTGTGATCTAACCAATAAATCAATCCGAGAGTGAGTTCGTGACTTGATGGCTCCTGGGGAGGTTGTAAGCTAGAAGATGCTCCTAGGCCAGAGGAAGTAGGTCTCTGGAGGTCTTGAAGGGTGTGTCTCATTTCTGGCTCCTTTCCGTTGCTCCATTTCCTTCCTGACCTTCTTGAGGCTGCCATGAAGCCTTTTGCGGTGATACTCTGCCTCACTACAGGCCCACGACACACTTAGGGTGCGGTTTTTGAAGGGTTAGTTTCTCCTTCCACTACTCGTGTCCAGGAGACCAAACTCAGGTCTTCAAGCTTGGTGGCCAGTGCTGAGCCATCTTGATGGCATAGGGCGGTAAGCATGCTTAGTTGCTGAGTCATCTCTCAGCTCGGGGTAGAAAAATCAGTCTGTTGAAGCACAGGGGAGTTCAAACAACCGGAGCTGCCGCTGCGGGAGGGAGGCACATCGGCATGTCAGGCCTCCTGCGTGCCAAGCATGGTCCTTTATACCTGTAGTTCCAGCACTCAGGAGGCTGAGGCAGAAGAATAGTTGTAATTTGAGGCCAGAGTTGGCTACACAATAAAGTCCAGGCCTGTGTGGGCTGCTCTGTCAAAAACAAACAGATAAACAAAAACCCCTCAGCTCTCTCAGGTCTTGGCTCCAAGGTGACCAACAAAGAAGAGACAAGGGTCGGTTGTGCCAAAAAGTGGTTCCTTGTGCAGCCAATTCGCTGCTCCAGCCGCTCCAGCTTCGTGCCTAAGGACAAGGACATTCAGTTCCCTATTCAGAACATTGTAGAGGCTGCTGCTGTCAGGGACATATCTAAAGCAAACACCTTCATGCCAATGTGCTTGCCAGATTCTGTCAAGTTGATTACGGTGTGAGCTGCGCCATTCCCAGCAAGGTGGTCAGGAATCAATCTCACATGCCAATGTGCTTGCCAGATTCTGTGTCAAGTTGATTACAGTGTGAGCTGCGCCATTCCCAGCAAGGTGGTCAGGAATCAACCTCACGAAGCCGGGAAGGACCGAACACTCCCACCATGATTTAGATGCACTGCTTCTCCACCACTGACCTCCACCAAAGCCCATGTAGAAAGAGGTGTCTTCATAAGCACGGAAGAAAAAAAAATCTTGGAAGTATAAAATGGAAGTTATACTTTAAAACCAACCAACCAATTTCCAAATAGAATTACATGTGTATGGACTACAGTCCCTTCATACTGAACAGGGCACCCTGTCACACGTGGGGTGTGTGTGTGTGTGTGTGTGTGTGTCTGCTGGCAGATTAAGTATCAGTTGTCCAGAATGCTTAGAACCATGATGCCCCACTAGTATACCTAACTTTTAGGTTTTTATGTCTCAGTTCAAACAAACAAAAGCTTGGGAACCAGGAGAGGGAGCTCATGCCTATAATCCAGGCACTTAGGAGGTGGAGATAGTCAGGGGACCAAGGTCATGTTTGGCAACATAGCAGGTGGCAGACTAGCCTGGGCTACATGATACCCTATCTCAAAAACTAAAATTAAAATAAATAAATAAATAAATGGATGTATGACCTCTTCTGTGCCAGGCAATGTACCAGACACCAAAGATACAGCAATGAACGCAACAGACAAAGCCCAAGGTCAGGCTGGCAAGGTCGCTCCTTGGGTAGTAATGACCCTTGCTGCCAGCCTGAGTTTCTGAGTTCAATACCTGGAACCTACACAGTAGAAAGGGAGCTGACTCCTACAAGTTGTCCTCTGACGGGGAGGGATGGCTCTTGAGTGAGTGTCCTTGGTGGGCAGAGAAAGCCTCACTGAGCAAGTGCCTTTGAAGTAAAGGCCTGAGTGTGTGTGTGTGTGTGTGTGTGTGTAGGTCTGAGGAACAGGGGTGAGCAACCAGGGCCTAGTGAGCGGGGAAAGCAGAACTGGAGGAAGGGTTCAGGCACCTCGGAGCCCCACAGGAGAGCAGCAGGGCCTGTGGCCTCCAGGGCCCATCCCAGGAGTAACAGTTTCACTATGTTATAGGAGTCTGTGAATTCTAGAGCGACACTGTCAGGCGGGGGCTGGAGAGTTGGCTCAGCACTGAGGAGCACTGACTGTTCCCCCAGGGGAGCCGGGTTCAATCCAGCACCCACAGGGCGGGCTCACAGCTGTAGCTCCAGTCCCAGGAAATCCAAAGCCCTCTTCTGACCTCTTTGAGCACCGTACACGCATGATACGCAGACAGACAGACAGACACGCAAGCAAAACACCTATACACTTAAAAGTAAATAATAAATTAAAAGTAGATCTTATTCTGCAGTCAAGACGCTGGAGGCCCAGTCTCTGAGGTGCCTTTTCCTCCCTTCCGTTTGACTCTTGCTGTTTCTAGGCCTGTTTCAGCCTCAGCTCCAGCCCCTACCTTCCTGGAACTTACCCTGCGGGGCTTCTATCCACAGGATCTGCTTGGGAAGACTTGAGCCTGACACTCAGAACCACAGCCCTGGCACCTTCTCCTACACCTATCTTCACAAGTGAGATATCTGGGGCAAATGTGAGTCATCTCCTGCCAGGAGGGGGTGGGTGGGGTGGTGAGGGGGGGGAGAGAATAATCTAGGTTTGAGGTCTTTGGGGCAGAGTCACACAGGGCCAAAAGGCTGCTGTAGAGCAAACCTAACGTGTGAAAAAACAAAACAAAACAGCAAGGAGGCGGGTGTGGCTGCCAGCAAAGGGTCAGGGAGAGAAGGAGGCTGTAGTGTCAGGGACTCTGAAGAGAGCCAGGTTGTGCTGGGCTTTTAGAAAAGAGGGCGGACACACACCCGCCCCCCCCGCTGGGGTGAGGGTAAAGGGCCAGGAAGTTACAGCAGAGTAATGGCTACAAAGTGTCCTTCAGATACCCAGGGAGCAGCAGTGCCCCGCACCGAGTACTGAGACAGACACGCTGAGAGAGCAGATTCCCGAAAGACTTTGAAGGTAAAGTCGACAGAGCTTCCTATATGCAAGCTTCCGTGGGTCTGGTCATGCCGGCACGTAGTCCCAGGGCTCGGAGGCGTAAGAGTTCAAGAGGACCCTCAAGCTACATGACAAGCTGAAGGCCAACACGACAACCCTGTCTCAAGAAACAAAGCAGAATTCTCCCTCTATCTCACTCTGTGTGTCTCTGTCTCTCTCTCTCTCTCTCTCTCTCTCTCTCTCTCTCTCTCTCGCACACACGGAGTCCTGTTAAGGATTAAAGGCCTTTCCACCCCGCCCCCTGAGAATTGTGCAGAGGAGACTGTTCAGCGGGGAGGACACAGCTAGCGGCTGGGCTGTGCTCTTTGCAAGGTCACTCGGGCTGCGGGGCGAGCACAGCCTGCAGGGGCAGGGTGCAGCAGATGCCCAGCGAAGGCTGAGGTGGCATGGACAATGGGGTATGAGGACAGGATGGACAAGAGGAGTCACAGTGACACCTGCTTCTGGGTCAAAAGCTATTTGACACTGTTTTGTTCTGTTCTGTTTTTCCTCTGCTCAGAACACACCGTTGTCTTCACCACAGAGTGGGGTTCATGCTCTGGGATGCCCTGTGACCTTGGGCTGTCCTGAGCTTGCCTCACTAGGCTCTGTGACCACAGAGATCAAAGAAAGCCCTGCATAGCTACGGACAGGAAGGCGGAAAGGTTGGAGACGCCTTCGAGTCTGGGTCCATTTGGAAGAGCAGCCGGTGCTTGTAACCACTGAGCCATCTCTCTAGCTCCCCATCATTATTCTTTTCTGATTATAAAAGTGATATGGGGCTGAAGATGAGGCTTCCCTAGCGCCCTGGGGTCCATCCCCACCACCCAGGTGTGGTGGCGCATACCTGTACCCCCGGCACTCGGGGAATCAGAAGTTCAATGTTATTCTTGACCACACCGTCAGCTTGAGGGCATGCCTGTGGCCAATCCTCTGGCAGACCAGTCTGAGCTTTTAGCCACTGGTCCAGATCTCCAGCCCCTAGACATTTCTTAAAACTTTATCTTCTATCTCTAGATACAACTCAAGACATCTCTGTGATGTTGAAATAATAGCCATGCCAAGTTCAAAAAAAATCCCCTTCTGAATACACTTATTAAGGAATGTTTAAAACAAGGTAGAGTTTGAGGTCGTAGCTCCAAGCACTTGCCTAGCACGCACAGGGGTTCACTCTTCAAGGTTAAAAAAAAGGGGAGGGGGCAGAGAAGCGGCAGGAAAGAAAGATTTCATGTCTGGGAGATAAGCAAGATAGCACATCTGTTCTGTAGCGTGTTCATTCTGCTCACGTCATCATGGCAACCTACACGAATTCATTCTCCATTGTTAAATATCAAATAGTGCTCTATCATACATACATGCAAACATACACCCACACTGTTCTCCTTCCCTCTCCCTCCCTCTCTCTCTTGCCCGCGCGCGCGCGCGCGCACACACACACACACACACACACACACACACAGAATCAACCTTCTGAGTGCTGGGATTAGAGGCAGGAATATATATATTTTTTTGCCAAAATGTTTTTTGTTTTGTTATTTATTTGTTTCTTCATTTATTTATTCAAAACAGGGTTTCTCTGTGCTGCTCTGGCTATCCTGGCACTCACTCTATAGACCAGGCTGGCCTCGAACTCAGAGATCCGCCTGCCTCTGCCTCCGGAGTGGTGGGATTAAAGGCATGCATCACCACTGCCCTCCCAGCAAGCAGGTGGATTTTTTACAGGACCCGGAAAGCATTTTCCCACGGCAGAGCTGAAGGTGACAGGATGGGTTTCAGAAAAGCTGGCTGAGCACATAGTAGGAACATAGAAGGGTATGTGCACGGCAAGGGAGGGTTGAATTTGATGACTGTACAGGGATTTTAATCCAGCAACAAGGCTGCTCTGGCTGGAATGCAGACACGTCCTTAGCACACGCCTTTAATCCCAAAACAATGAACATAAAGTTAGTTTGTAGAGGGAAGCACCTATGTTTGGAAGTGACATCTAATTGTGAGGCAGACAAAGTGACCAATGAGAGAAAGACTTGACAGAATAGGATATGCCCAACTCTCACGAGAAGAGAGAGGAAAGAAAGATGACTTAGAAGAGAACAGCACAGGGAGCGAGGGAGAGAGAGAAAGAGAGAAGGAGAGAGATTTATTAGATATAAATTACATTGGTCAATTGTCATAAGCTGTTTCAGTTGAAAGCAGATCCTGGGAGGAACAAGGTCTTCCCTCGTCTCCTTTAAAACCCTTGGTCCTGGGTCAGCCTGCTTTCCAAGCTCTGTAGCAGAGAGAGGAAAAAACAACAAAGAGATATGGGTATTAAACATTTCATATCCAGGGGCTGGAGAGATGGCTCAGCTGTTAAGAGCATTGGCTGCTCTTCCAGAGGTCCTGAGTTCAATTCCCAGCAACCACATGGTGGCGTCAACAAAGAAGACTAACAATAACAGAGGTTAAGAGCCCTTGCTGCTCTCACAGAGGACCTGAGTTCAGTTCCCAGCACCCACATCATGGTTCACAGCTCTCCATAACTGTAGTTTGAGACCACTGGGTGCCCTCTTCTGACTTTCACGGGCACCAGGCACCCACACACAGCTCACATCCATGCATGCATGCAGAACACTCATACAAATAAAATAAGTAAATCTGAAGAAAAAAAAAAAAGATTAGCGATAGCAACAGGACGGCACCCACATCTAATCTCCCTGGCCCTGGTCTCAGCCCATATACTGGTGTCTGGCTTTTATGGCTCTTAAATTCCCAATAAGCAAAAGTGTGGCAGGCAGGGAGCCTCCTGCCAGGCTTGGGGCCTATGGACCTCTGACCTGAAACTCTGATCCAGTAGCCAGCTGGTGCCTCCTGGCTTTCTTCTGGTCCCAGCAGGCCCGATTGCCCGCAGGCCATGGACAAACCGGTGAAACATCTCTGCAGAAGCCCATCCTTGGGGTGCACACGCTGCTGGCTGCAGTCAGCTAGGGTCTCCTGGCTCAGCCCCCCCCACGCCTGCCTACCACTTCCCCTTGGGTGTGATGACTCAGGAGTGCTGGTCACCTGCCACACCGCTCCAAGAGATTAGAAAGAGACTCTGCCTTGGAGGGCGTTTTTAGGAGGTTTTTACAAGTCCTTCACCATAGCCCAAGATACTCTGTATCACAGCTCTCCCGAACATCCTAAAGTTCTAGGAAGCTATTTCCTGGATTTTTTGGAGGGTGGGCTAAGCTGAACCTAAGGGTTTTGTAAGGGTGACATCCCTTGGGGATTGTATCCACAAACAGGCAAGGGACACGGGGTGACTCGCTCCAGGGCCTTCCTTTCCAGCCTCTGGCCTGTGGTTGCTTTTGTATATGGCCAAAAGAACGCGTGGTTTACAGCCAGTGACCTGGGGGCCAGTGACTGGCTGTGGCTTTTCTAGGCTGTCATCCTCTGGGAGCCTGGGACTTCTGCTACCCATGGCTACAGGCATGCCATCTCTGTATCCGTATGGGAACAGAGACCCTAGTTATTGCCTTGCCAGCACCTCCTCTTAAATGGAGCATCGGGAGCTGCCTTCTGGCAACCTCAGCTCCTATCTTCACTTGCACTGAACTGAGAAGGGTCCTCAAGTCCCTGTCTAAGCAAAAAAAAAAAAAAAAAAAAAACTCCAGGTAGGCAAACGTTCACCTTATAGTCATCCACCATGATCAAAGGAAGAGCAGAACCTTCTCTGATTCTATACCACGAGAGGGCAAAAGGACAAGTGGTGAGTAACAGGAGACAGTAGACGTCATCAGATCCGGGCTCACAGCACAGCCGAGACTGACTAGGAAGCTGAAGTTCCCAGTTGAGCTTTCTCTCCAAAGATGAGCTTCCCATCTCTTTCCCACCGTAGACATTTTATGCATGGGAATGATTTACCCATGAGCTGTTCTCAAGAACACGTTTTTATTTGTGTTGAAGTGGGTTTTTTTGTTTTGTTTTGTTTTGTTTTGTTTTGTTTTGTTTTGTCTTTTAAGACAGGGTCTCACTATGTATTCCTGACTGTCCTGAAACTCAAGAGATCTGCTTGCCTCAGCCTCCCAGGGGCTAGGACTAAAGGCATGCACCACCGTTCAGCACCATCCCAGCAAGGGTATAAAAAAAACTTTTTTAAAGGTTTATTTATTATGTACACAGTGTCAGGCCTGCATGTAGGCCTCATGCATGCTGGGAGAGTGGTTTATCACTCGCCTACAGCCTCAGCCCTCCTCTCACTTCTAACTGGCTAATCCTCCCTGTGCTCTCCAGTTAAAGTTCTAGAAGGGGTCAGCTCACTGGCTGACCTCATTGGCTCACCCTTTATTGGGCAGAACCCTTCAAGGTCATCCC